TGTGTGCAGTGCTATCGTTCTCGAGAGATTCTTCCCCACTTCGTCCTTCCTCACATGCTGTCAAGGACGCGTCTGGCAATCGGCCATGTTTTCCCTTCCCACCCCCGCCCCCCGCCCTCACCCATATTCCACTCGACTTTGCGCTTGAGTGTGCGATGAATACTAGCTGTTTCTTCTTTTCCACCCGTCACCCCCACCCCCTCCTCCTCCTATGCCCCTGTAGGATGCTCGCAATACTTGCACGTATCTAGAATCCGATATGTTTACCGATTTATTGAACGCGTGTGTGTTTATGTGTGTATTTTTAAGGTGAATTACAGAGAGATACGTATAAAATATGATACGTAATGACCCGAGTTCAAGGAAATCAGTTTTTAATTTTATTGGGTATGATTTCAACTTTTTTGGTATCCATAGTGAAGTTGCACTTCATTAGCTAAATAACTCCATCCCACATCTGTTTTAAAGATTTCCCCTATTACTGGTGTATAGCGTTATTAGTAAACGGTTCGACGTCCAAGGAATAAAGCTCATATGTAACGTAATTTATTATGGGCTCGCGTCCACGGAAAACCCCTTTGAATTTTATTGGGTTTTATTTTAACTCATTTTGTATCCGTAGTGAAGTTTCACTTCATAGAATAATAATTGGGTTTATTTAACGTTGTAAGAGTTTGAAACTCGCGTAAAAATCAATGTTTTATTTTTTAACTCCATCCCACATAGGTTTTTGTGATTGTTCCTGTTACTGGTATTACTAAACAATTCCACATCCAAGGAAAAATACAACTGTACCGAATTTTATAAAATTTTCACGATGTGTCTACGTAAGTGAACCACAGCCCATTGCGCAAGCCTTTACTAACTATTTAAGTTTCAAATAAAGGTGGGGGAGCCCAGCATATGTATACACTGAATTCAATTTTCAGAGCTGAAAATAAAATTGATTTCCTGCAGATTGTGGTGTAGAATCTCCTTCCCCCCCCCTGCACCACATACCCTCTCTCGGAAGTAATAAAAAAGCGGGTCTCCTGCCAAAAGTCAGGCTGCGTTCGTATTTCATACGGGCACGCGACCGAAATTCTAAATTCAAATCGGACGAAGAGGAGCTACCGCTGCAGTCGGTCGGTTGGCCGGTGCTGAGCTTCCGGTCCGCCTGTCCGAGAGCTGAATTGTTATGGGCCGCGCAGGATGGAGTGTACGTTTGCCCCCCCTACCTCCTCTCCTCATCTTTTTTTTACCAGTAATCGAATGTCTGCTCTGTACCTTCGTTTCCCCTCGATTTTGGAAAAATCCTTTCTTTCAGGATCGGATCCTCCATCTTCATACCAGCATCACAAAAATTTAAACAATCTGAGCGTTAATGTTAGACATAACTAATGATCCCCATTTTCTTGAAATTAAGGTTTCCCAATGTGGTGTTTCGGTATCAAACGGATAATAAAAAAAATGTCCTGTCAAGCATAGATAGCATTTTCAGGTGGACAATTTTTTTTTTTAATGATTTTTATGGCAGTTATTATATAAATCTGTAGAAATCTGTACCTTGGCTCGGATCGACCGTCCAGAGAGCAACCCCTACCACGCGATCCTGGAGTCGAGTCCAGCCAAGGAAAATTCAGACAAAAGTTTGTGACACGTTATTACACCCCTGGTATACAAGACATCTGACAATATCACCGAAGCCGATTTTTTTTTTTTGTAAGACGTTTTACGTAACTCATGCATATGCGTGCTTGGTTTTAACAGCTGAAGGAGCGCCAATTTGCAAACGCCACATGCTACCGTACCTAATAAAAAATACGGCACGCGCTCAAAAGAGAGCACCTGCCACGCGGTATTGCAACAACGCGTACACCTGTATTGTAGAGTCAGTGGCGCTTCGTTTTCATTTTTCATTACACGCGGCGCAGCTGTACAGGTATAATACCCATAAGATTCACCGAGTGCACATACTGGCGTCCTCATTACCAATATTGGCGAAGGTGACTCGCTTTTGGCGCCCGAGGCCTATTTTCGCGTCTTTTCATCGTAACACCCTCTTTTGTCTTTTCTGCAACTCAACACCCCCGTACATTACATCCATGGTATTTTATCAACACCCGTGGGCGAAGAAAGGAAAGGAAGGGGCAATATGATGAGTTTTCACTTAATACCTGCACCTTTGATTTCATCCCGGAAGCGCGCGCCTCTAAATTAATTACTCAGAATCTCGAAAGGACAAACGGCGGCGGGAGGGGCAAGGGGTGGGTGGAAAATTGCGCTGGTGCTGCAACTCTAATTAGGTTAAGCCCCTGCAGCGTGAGTTGTGCGGTGAGGGCCGTGAAACTGAAGCCACCGCTGCTATGGCTTTTGTTGTGTTTGCGCGTATAATACACGTATCTTCAGATGAAGCGAAAATTAATGTACACATTTGTAGCTTCCGAAACAGTTATTAGGGGGTTCGCGTTGCAGCAGTTACGGTGAAATCTTTGCTCTGACTTTGCCACGGGTGCCCGCGTGGAGGGCGTTTTCGTGTGATGTAATTTATACGTGTCGTGTAGTACCAACGTGATGGGATTATTTTACAACCTAGATTTTTGTTTAAACTATGATATACAATTTTTTGTTCCCAAAATGTATCGCGTTGCTCGTGCTGGGAATGTTTTTCTTCTCTTGAACTCACGATATGATGGGGCACTTGGCAAACATTTTACAGTTTTATATTCTTTAAGGGCAAAGTTGATAGTCAAGTGCTTTCATCGTGCATATGAATGACGGGTATGTATAAAAAATATATAAATATACGGGCGACAAATGCTTCCGAATATGGTCGAGCAGAACCATCAAGGGTAAAAGTCACGCGAGTATATGAATGGCCATCACCTGGGGAAGGTCCGAAATATCGACAGTGCACTTCAATTTCACAGTGCAGTGGAGATGGAGAGTCAAAGTGAACCGCCTCGCGCTGAAATAAAGAGCAGTCGCTGTTATCGAAATCAAACGTCGCTGGAACGAACATTCGAAATTTCACTACGAGAATGTGAGGTGCACCGTCTATGTCCCGGACCTCATCCCCCCGTATTTGTACACATTGTGCGTGGATACAAGAAATTTTAAGTATAGGTTATTACGTAACGAGTGGGCAAAGTCGATATAACATATGTACAATACATCGTTAGAATTGTCTTGTAGTTCTACTGGTGGACCAACAAGTTTTATGTGGGAATTGTTCACTCGAGTTTTTGAAACGATTTCAAATAATCTCGGCGTGATCGTTAAATTCGATGCAATGCGGGGACAAGCTATATTTTGCAAATAGAATAAATTCATCACCATTGAAGTGTTACGTTACCTCACTATACAACTTGCCTCAAGAGCTCCGAAAGCGACAAAAAAAGGCAGCTGTAGCCGGTCACCCTTTCTCTCATTAAATATTCAGCTTAGCGCGAATAAAGTGTACATTTACTTCTCGCTGCGCTCGGTCGTGAGCGAATTTTTCATCGTACATATAGGCAACAAAGTAAATTTTGCTTAAAGCTCGTGCATAGTTTGAAAAAAAAAAAAAATCTTTGTAAATTTCAATAACCGCGTCTCCAAAATACCAAGTTGCCCACTGGATATGTATAATCTTGAAAATCTAACAAATAGGACTTTGTACTTGCTTCTCGTCTTCTCGCGCTCATCCTCTCTCATCCTCAGCCTCTGTGTGTGTCTTCAATTAACAAAAAAACACACAAACATCCATCCTTTCGTCAGGAAATTCGGATGCAACAGATAATTAGTCAACTCATCTTCTACCCTCGAGCACTTGGCCATGGCAGTGGTGGACAATGGTTTCTTTGTTTTGGCCTTCTCTTTTTTAGGCCTCTACGTAAATGTTCATTTACCCTCATCTGGACTTGATTACCTAAACGCCGAAATTAAATTAACTCCTCTTCGTCTATACGTATAAGATATATGTTTCCTCTCTGTCGTTTACATAAAGAACAAAAGTACACTGCAAGTAGAAAAAGTTTAGACCTGGTGATGTAAATATAGAAGATGGAGATTTACAACGGACAATGCTCTCGGTGGTTGTGTAGTGACTCTATACTTAAAGCTTTCTTTTTTCTCTTAATATTTGCCGGTAAAGTTTCAAAAACGTTGTTTTTCGCGATTGTAAATTTTTCTTTTTTTTTTTTTTTTTTTCTTTCAATTTTCACTCTTTGATGCTTTATTATCTTGCGCAATTCGACAGTATGGTTTTTCGAGTGCTTAATTAACGATAATGTCGATTGGGGTCATTGTTGTCCATACTCGACGCGTTTTTTTTTTTTTTTTTTTTTTTTCCATCCTTCAAAGCGATCGCATTACAATTGCAACGTATATTGCATGTAACCCATGCTCGAGAGTCAAAGCCAAAATGTGTACTAATGGATGGTAGGAAATTAATTTGTTCGCAAAAACGAGACGTCCGATAAATTTTGGCCATCGAGATCGCACGGATTAACAAAACTAGCCTCACCCCCGGGGGTGTATAATTTCCCCTTTGTGCTAAAATCAATCGTATACCTCTCTGTTGAATTAATCACGTTTACGTACGCGCATCAGAGAATACTTCAACAAGCGTATGTATACCTATATCTTACTTTACCAAAGTGTAGCATAATACACGAGTTTCGTATATCGCGTGTCCAAACCCCATATTCTGTTTGACAAAAGCTTCGAATCGTTATCACCCGTTCGATATACTAATCTGCTCCAATATATGCATAATGGCGTGAAAATTTTCAACCGACCAACCGTCGGGGCTTAGGAACGATTATTCGGTTGATTCGGCTGAAACGAGTTCGCGCGCATTAAATCAACGTCACAGTGGCCGCACATCAATGCAATTATACTGCCCTCTCATCCCCGCGGACACCAACTGTTGGGACTTGGGTCCGAATAGCGCGTAGTTGTGAATATACGATTGTAAAAGTAACGAGTGACTATAAATGGGGTGTATTGTAAAAAAAAGTGTTGATTTTGGTTTTCAGGACACCGAGCACGCGGCCGAGCTCAGAGTGGCTCTGGAGTTGAACGGCGAGATGCGCGTCCTTGAGCTGAGGCTCAACACGGATCTCGTTCCCTACGGGTACAAGGAGAGGCATCAGCACCGCGGCGACTTCGAGACCAACGTACCGGACAAAGTGGTGAGTTCGGCTGTACTTTACTCTTTTTCAACTTTTACCTTTTTTTTTTTCTGTTTATTTTTTTCGCGTCCAAGTTGTACGTGAAAAGTGGATCACGTCCATTAAAATAAAAGTATATGTAATTTAGTTTTTTTTATCATTGATACAACAACTCGCAACTAACGACTAGCCGTGCCGCAAAAAGTTTACATCAGGGTAAATTTAATGAATTTGAGATTGATGCAAAAAAGAAATCACGGGATGTATCATCGATTTAGTGTTCTAATGAAACATTTTTTTAAGAAGTGATCCATAGCACAGTGTGCACATTAAAAATCGAAAACTGACACGTCCATTTCGCGTTTATAACAAAAAACAAATTTTTAATAAAGCTGTGGAAGAATAAGTACGTTTAAAATTGTTCTCTCAGCAAACGAATTTCAATTAAACCCACATGTTCTACCAACGATACGTGGGAACGTAATATTCTTTTTTAACGCTCAGAGTACAATCGACGGGCCGGTTCATATTAAAAGTATAATAATACAATAGAAAGCGAGTTTCGAATTTGTCGGTATATCACACAATCTGCGTCGTCACAGGCCCGTTATTTCGGACAAAAAAGAGCATAGGCACGGAAATAACGGCCTAATTTGAATCTTTCTCTTTTATCACGAATATCGTCCGGTCATCATCGTCCGCTGTAATTTGAAAAATAATAGTACAGAAAGGGCAAATGGAAAAGTTAGTACGTTAAAACGGAAGTGCCGATTGAAATTCGAAAAATATAAAACGACGTTCCATCCGCCTTTACGTTTGAATACAGGTGCAGCAGATCTACAACAATAGCCATACGTGCATTGCATGGGGAGCTAAAAAAGCTTGTAAAAAAGCGATGGTAAAAACACATTAACTATAGAAACGAATAAACTCTATCTCTCTGATATCGCTCTCTGCAAAAGAGAGAGGAAACACTGAAAAGGTCGTTATACTCTCTCTTTGCCACTGTCCACTCTGTATAAACCTACGTGCGGTTCAGTCAATTGGACATATCAGGAACATGCGTTTAACCAGCGTACACACACATACGATACATATACAACAGGAGTGAACGTACGCGTGTCCTGATATATATTCGTAATTGCCATCAGCAATGGGCGTTATAGAGCAAACGAACGCGGGTGGTGCTTGCGTGTGGAGGTATACACACGTCCCCAGGAAATCTCGGTGCTGACCATACTCTCGAAATAACCGCCAATTTGTGACTGTATTGTGTAATGGTTGTTGCAAGCGTGACATCGGCGCGGTTGGACAATCAGGCATCGGGTGTGTGTGTGTGTGTGTGTGTGTGTGTGTGTGTGTTTGTGTGCGTGTGTACTTTTGGTTAATACACAGCATATTGTACAATCTTTGTCAATTATTGTACTTGGATGTTACATTTACGGTTCGATTGAGTATTATAGTTTATTGATTTGAGAAGTATATATATATATATATTAATAACAATAACAATAATAATACTAATAATATTAATAACGATTATAATAACAATGATTTTAATAAGTCTATTCAGATCTAATAATAATAATAAATAATAAATCTAACATCTAGTTCTGATTGGGCTCGAATTCAATACATATAACTTAACTTTATAATATGATAGTTATCAATAATATGAATTTTATCAAAGAAAAAATTTACTAGTACAGTAAAATTTCATAGTTTAATGTAACAAAAAAAAATCGTTTTTTTTCCGTATAACTTTATAACTTGGTATTTTAAGGACTTTCTGAATCAAAGTTTAACCTTTAAAGTAAAAGTTTACATTTGTTTGAACGCCTAGTAACGTAATGAATAGCAGGTTGAATGTACTTTGTGTGTCAGTAGCTTTCTTATTCAAAGTACAGTTAGAGATTTTTTGCATTATTAAATAAGCATAATGTTTTTTACCTTTTGCTTTAAAATAATCACTCTTAAAAGCAAAAAAAATTTTTATATATTTTTAAAAATATCGAATGTTCAGTTGGGGTCATTGTTGTCCATACTCGACGCGTTTTTTTTTTTTTTTTTTTTTTATCCATCCTTCAAAGCGATCGCATTACAATTGCAACGTATATTGCATGTAACCCATGCTCGAGAGTCAAAGCCAAAATGTGTACTAATGGATGGTAGGAAATTAATTTGTTCGCAAAAACGAGACGTCCGATAAATTTTGGCCATCGAGATCGCACGGATTAACAAAACTAGCCTCACCCCCGGGGGTGTATAATTTCCCCTTTGTGCTAAAATCAATCGTATACCTCTCTGTTGAATTAATCACGTTTACGTACGCGCATCAGAGAATACTTCAACAAGCGTATGTATACCTATATCTTACTTTACCAAAGTGTAGCATAATACACGAGTTTCGTATATCGCGTGTCCAAACCCCATATTCTGTTTGACAAAAGCTTCGAATCGTTATCACCCGTTCGATATACTAATCTGCTCCAATATATGCATAATGGCGTGAAAATTTTCAACCGACCAACCGTCGGGGCTTAGGAACGATTATTCGGTTGATTCGGCTGAAACGAGTTCGCGCGCATTAAATCAACGTCACAGTGGCCGCACATCAATGCAATTATACTGCCCTCTCATCCCCGCGGACACCAACTGTTGGGACTTGGGTCCGAATAGCGCGTAGTTGTGAATATACGATTGTAAAAGTAACGAGTGACTATAAATGGGGTGTATTGTAAAAAAAAGTGTTGATTTTGGTTTTCAGGACACCGAGCACGCGGCCGAGCTCAGAGTGGCTCTGGAGTTGAACGGCGAGATGCGCGTCCTTGAGCTGAGGCTCAACACGGATCTCGTTCCCTACGGGTACAAGGAGAGGCATCAGCACCGCGGCGACTTCGAGACCAACGTACCGGACAAAGTGGTGAGTTCGGCTGTACTTTACTCTTTTTCAACTTTTACCTTTTTTTTTTTCTGTTTATTTTTTTCGCGTCCAAGTTGTACGTGAAAAGTGGATCACGTCCATTAAAATAAAAGTATATGTAATTTAGTTTTTTTTATCATTGATACAACAACTCGCAACTAACGACTAGCCGTGCCGCAAAAAGTTTACATCAGGGTAAATTTAATGAATTTGAGATTGATGCAAAAAAGAAATCACGGGATGTATCATCGATTTAGTGTTCTAATGAAACATTTTTTTAAGAAGTGATCCATAGCACAGTGTGCACATTAAAAATCGAAAACTGACACGTCCATTTCGCGTTTATAACAAAAAACAAATTTTTAATAAAGCTGTGGAAGAATAAGTACGTTTAAAATTGTTCTCTCAGCAAACGAATTTCAATTAAACCCACATGTTCTACCAACGATACGTGGGAACGTAATATTCTTTTTTAACGCTCAGAGTACAATCGACGGGCCGGTTCATATTAAAAGTATAATAATACAATAGAAAGCGAGTTTCGAATTTGTCGGTATATCACACAATCTGCGTCGTCACAGGCCCGTTATTTCGGACAAAAAAGAGCATAGGCACGGAAATAACGGCCTAATTTGAATCTTTCTCTTTTATCACGAATATCGTCCGGTCATCATCGTCCGCTGTAATTTGAAAAATAATAGTACAGAAAGGGCAAATGGAAAAGTTAGTACGTTAAAACGGAAGTGCCGATTGAAATTCGAAAAATATAAAACGACGTTCCATCCGCCTTTACGTTTGAATACAGGTGCAGCAGATCTACAACAATAGCCATACGTGCATTGCATGGGGAGCTAAAAAAGCTTGTAAAAAAGCGATGGTAAAAACACATTAACTATAGAAACGAATAAACTCTATCTCTCTGATATCGCTCTCTGCAAAAGAGAGAGGAAACACTGAAAAGGTCGTTATACTCTCTCTTTGCCACTGTCCACTCTGTATAAACCTACGTGCGGTTCAGTCAATTGGACATATCAGGAACATGCGTTTAACCAGCGTACACACACATACGATACATATACAACAGGAGTGAACGTACGCGTGTCCTGATATATATTCGTAATTGCCATCAGCAATGGGCGTTATAGAGCAAACGAACGCGGGTGGTGCTTGCGTGTGGAGGTATACACACGTCCCCAGGAAATCTCGGTGCTGACCATACTCTCGAAATAACCGCCAATTTGTGACTGTATTGTGTAATGGTTGTTGCAAGCGTGACATCGGCGCGGTTGGACAATCAGGCATCGGGTGTGTGTGTGTGTGTGTGTGTGTGTGTGTGTGTGTTTGTGTGCGTGTGTACTTTTGGTTAATACACAGCATATTGTACAATCTTTGTCAATTATTGTACTTGGATGTTACATTTACGGTTCGATTGAGTATTATAGTTTATTGATTTGAGAAGTATATATATATATNAAAAAATAAAAAGTAACGCACCTTCGCGAGTCAATAAAGTATGGCATAAGTACAGACAGAGAGAAAAGAAAAACGAATTGATTTTCCTTCGATGCATAAGTTTTTCAGCAACTTATAAAAAAAAAAAAAACAAAAAAAAAAAAAAGGTTAAACTCTAATTCAAAGAGTTACGTTTCATTGTGAAAAAAAGCTGCACCTCGTAAACTTCTCTCCACCCACTCGTATTATTTTTTTTCTTCCTTGTGGAGTTTAAAAAAATTCATGCAGCTATGCGAACAGAGAAAGAATCGTATTTTCGCGCGAGAAACGCAAAAAAGAAGGCCCATGTCTTTTTTTTGGATCGTGGCCAATCGTGGGCCCGATAAAAACATTCCTTTTTCAAGAGTATTGATATGCACGTGGCCTTGGGACAAAGTGAACTTATTTTCTGTTTTGTTTCTGTTACTATTATAACTTATTTAATGTTTTGGACTGTTGTTTGTTTTCAACGCGAGAAAAATGGTCAAAACCAAAGTTAATTTTAAAGCGATGGCGATTCATTTGAGTCATTTAGCGCCGCGCGAGAAATTTTTTCATTATTTTTTAGAAAAACCCGGAAGGTTAATTTTAAGCTCCAACTTACGATGAAGCAATGCATCATGTACCTTAAAAAAAAATTGTTTTACCTTTGCTCGTAAGTATATCAGCGGCAACATAAGTGTATACATAGCAGACGTAGGTACAAGTTCAAGGTATTTCAGTATTAGGCCTGTAATACTCGTGTTAAGCGTTCGATAATTCGAAGAGAGAAAAAGCACGTGTATAATACATGCATGCACATTGCACTCCAGGTGTGCACGAACTTTTTTTTTTTTTTTTTTACGTATGAGTACCTAATAGTACCCTATTCCGACGAGTCGAGATCAATAATTTGATTTGAATTTCCAAAAATCGTTGTATTTTACAACACGAAATTTTCGTTACTAACTCTCGTTCTCGCTAAACTATATACTTGTAGGTGCATTTCAAAAGTTTAGCAGGAGTTGAAATTTCATCCAAATCATAAAGTGTAGTTTTACTTTTTTAGCTATAACAAGTAGTTCAGTTGGAAAGTAATTAAAATAGTTGCTCGTAGGGCAATGAAAAGTGTAAGAAATTAAAATACATGGTTAAGAGAAAGATACACAACAATATTGAAATCTTTTTAATTTGAAATTTCATCTATTTGCCAGGTGGTGTAAGAAATAGTTATTTTTTAACCAACAAGTACAATAACAAGTAAAGTGCTTTTTTGTGAGGGAATTAAAAAAATAAGTCATTTCATACGTCTTTAACAAAGATAACTTTAATCCTCGGAATCGCTGAATTCAATATTTTCCGATTACACGACTGTATCGCGTTTGTCTAAATATTGGAGGTGTTAGGTTTGAAACTGCGCTGATAGACGTTACACTGGTATGATATGAGTTTTTTTTGTCTTTTTTTTTTTTTTTTTTATACGGTATTTTAGTCTTATTTTTACTTTTTCATCGCGGATAAATTCGTTTGGTTTTATTTTTTCGACGAAGCCTCTCGTATGCGGTAAACACAATTATCGATCGTGATTGTGTAGTGGACACTTGTTGCTCCCATCTATAACAGTTACTTTAAGCGAAAAACGTATTACATGTTTGAAGAAAAAAAATCTGTTGCCGAGAATCACGTTAAAAAATTCTCGAGCCTTTTTTTTTCAACGTTTGTACGCGTGAAAATTTTTTTTATCAATTTTCCTCTTCATTTTTACAGGAATTGTGTCACTACAGAGGCAGCGTCCAGGGCCTCCCGGGCTCATGGGTGGCACTGTCGACGTGTCACGGGCTCAGTGGGGTAATATTCGACGGTGAAAATCACCATTATATTCATCCCGAGACGGAGTCCCTGGATTCACGGCATTACCTCTACAAGCACACCGATCTTGTGACTAATCATACGTGCGGTGAGTTATAATTTTTTTTTTTTTTTTATCAGACACGTGCGCACAAGCTTGTTTTTTCTTTGCGTCTTTCTTTTGTTTTATAAAACTATAATAACAGCGTCAGAGATTATTTCCTTTCAAATGTAAAACCTTTGCGAGTAATAAACTTTAATTTAGACTACTTTTTTAGCTTTTAATAAAAATAAAATGAATTTAGTTTTATGCTATCACACACGACTTGAAACTGTCTTCATTCATTATTTTAACAGTTTCAATCAAGGTGAGAAATAAAATTTTTTTACAAAAATTAATTATCCTTTCCATAAAGTTTTATAGTCAAACTAATATTTTTTTGCGTGATTATACCTATCTTTACCCTGATTACACCTACAAAAAAATTAAATAGAAATTTTTTTTCAACCCCCCTATTTATAATAAAAATACTCTACCAACTAACTTTTGTTTTCCTTATTAATCCTCATCAATAATATTTCGTTTTTGTTTAACTTGACAAGTAAACTAATCAACTCAAAAATCAACAAAAATAAAAATTTTCCTCAAAAATACCCATTTTAACACTCCACAAATAGCTTGACTCACTTGAAGAGTATAAAAAGAGTAAATATCAATTTATTTCATTCGATACCACAACATGATCGTTCAGAACAAAGATAATCCTCCAATCAACGAAATCAGCTTCCCGACTCCCCCATTCGCTCGCAAAACCCGTAGCCCGCTCGTCTTTCCAACTTCATTTCCCTACCGCCGCATAGGCATTCCATTTAAATACCCCTCCAGCTGAAAATCACCTCTGTAATCCTCTTTGAATTCCATCTCTATTCCGTCACAGTGGCCAAAAAAAAAAAAAAAAAAAAAGGTTAAACTCTAATTCAAAGAGTTACGTTTCATTGTGAAAAAAAGCTGCACCTCGTAAACTTCTCTCCACCCACNAGGAAAAAAAAAAAAAAAAAAAAAAAAAAAAAAAAGGTTTACGTTAGGTGCGCAAAACAGATGATTCAGTCACGCAAAGCTGTAGATAGGAATGATGATCGCGTGTCCGAGTGGCATCCGATGTTCCTTGGCACGAGGGAAAAGAGCCCAAATTTTGCGCTCGCCTTGCAGTGTACATACATACATGGGAGCAAAGAGAAAGCCCTCGAAGGGCTGGAAGGCAGCTTGCAAAAATATCAAGTGCTGGTGCTGCATCACGATTGAGCATAGAAAGAAATTTCGAAGAAATCCGTTGTTGAAAAAAAAAATAAATAAATAAATAAAAAAAACAGAGCTTTCCATAATTGACTGGCTGTTAGCCAAGAAGATCGAGAGAAAAAGGATCTGGAATCATATCTATGTGCAATTGCTCCAGTTTTTTCTTCTCTCTCTCCTTCTTCTTTCGGCGCTTCTCATCTCTTATCTCTCGGAAAAGATGAATGACCCCTTGATTTGCCGGCATTATTGTGCGCACATCCGCGTCTCGGGTCTATACTCCCGCGGCTCATCTTTCGGTAACCGCTCTCTTTATCTCTCATAATACATCTTGCTTCGGCAAAATCTTTGCACCTCCTTGTATATACAAACGAGCAATTCAAGCGGAAATCGCTCACCTATGCCAAGCTTTTTTTTTTTTTTTTTTTTTTTCACCAATGCTTCAGTACAGAATCATCTTGGAAATTAAATTTTGAAATTTTTATTCACGATTCAAAATGACTCAATCGTGATTACGTATGTATCGTTTCCTGATGTTTCTCGAAGTAACTTGATCAAGTACAGGTATTCAAAAAAGTCTTGACGCGCAAGTCAATTTGGCAAAACATTATATCGAGCTCCTTTGTTCTATACATATACATGTACTTATAAATATAAGTACATCGTCGCAAAACAATGATATTCCATTAACCACGACGCAACAGGGTGGGTATGTATGGTTGGGAGGAAAAAAAAAAAAAAAAAAAGAAAAAAATGATGAGA